AAGCTGGGCAAAAGCAGGTACTCTCTCTAGCTGTTGGATGTCTTTAATGCTCGCTCTCTTAATATTTATGGTTGTGCTTGATCTTCAGTGCTGTGCTCAGGCTTTGTCTAGTTGGGGTGTGAGGGCTTCTTATTGCCGTGGCTTCTCATTGCAGAGCACAGGCTCTAGGGTGCTCTGGCTTCAGTGGTTATGGAGTGTGGGCTCAGTAGTTACCACTCGAGGGCTGAGTTGCCGCTGGCATGTGAAATCCTCCCGGAATATCGATGGAACCCGTGTCCCCTACACTGGCAGGCAGATTGCTAACCATCAGACCACCGGGGACTGTGTTCAGTTGGTCAGTCACGTCCGACTCCTTTCGACCCCATGGACTGCAGCACGCCAGGCTTCTGTCCTTCACCATCTCCCAGAGCTTGCTGGAACTCATGTCCATTGACTCAGTGATGCCATCCAACAATCTCATCCTGTTGTCCCTTGCTCCTCCTGCCTTCAGTCTTTCCCAGAATCAGGGTCTTTTCTAATGAGTCAGCTCTTCACATCAGGTGGCCAAAGTATTGGAGCTTCAGCATCAGTCCTTCCAATGAATATTCAGGACTGATTTCCTTTAGGATGGACTGGTTTGATCTCATTGCAGTCCAAGGGACTCTCAAGAGTTTTCTCCAACACACTTCAGAAACATCAATTCTTTGGCGCTCAGCTTTCTTATTAAAGAAACTCTCACAACTCTCACATCCATACATGACTACTGGAAAAACCATAGCTTTGACTATACAGACCTTTGTCCTAGCTGTTGGAAATTTCATCCAAAATCTTTTTCTGTATTTAATGATGCCTACCTCTTGTCCTGCCTGCCATTAATTTTTCAACTGTCCGTAACTTCACTGTGACTTCCAATGTTACATATCTGTTTAGTCTAATCAACAGAATTTCCTGTCCTGTTTTTCCTTGTCTAAGCTGAAATTTGGTCCTTGTGACCTCAGATTTAAAAAAAAATAATCCTTTTCTACCCGTCAAGGTTCTGTTAGGTGAGAATAGAAAACATGTGTATTTTTCCAGCCTGTGTTCCTTCCATATTTAGTGTCTAAGTGTTTCAGTCAAACTGCTAATGATTGGGACTCTCCAGTAAGAAGATAAGACATCGCCCTGGCTTGACCGTGTCCTAGATAAGATCTGGGGCCTAAATTTTAACAATATGTGTGTCCCCCTCAGAGTTGGTCTTTGCCATTTTGATTATCAGTCTTGGGCCTGTGACAGTTGGTACAGAGGTGGTTATCTGTTTGTTGGGATCAAAGTGCTCACTGGAAACTGGGAACAAAAGAATGTTTAAGTGAGCAATCAACAGCTGCATTCTTCAAGCCCTTGTTAGCCCTAAGCTTTTTAGGAAAACTTTTAATTGGAGTACAGTTGATGTACAATGTTGTGCTGTTAAGAGGGCGGCTTCCCAGGTGGCTCAGTGGTAAAGAGTCCGCCTGCCAATGCAGGAGATGTGGGTTCGATCCCTGGGTTCGGCAGATCCCCTGGAGGAGGAAAAGGCAGCTCCCTCCAGTATTCTTGCCTGGAGAATCCCACGGACAGAGGAGCCTGGCGGGCTGCAGTCCATGGTGTCGCCCAGAGTCGGACACCACTGAGCGAGCCTGCGCGGACACTGGTAAGAGGCAGAGGGCTAACACAGCTCTGTAAATCTGTCATCGCCCCCGCCACTCTGAAGATCGAGGAGTGATCAGAAGACATGGGGGAACGAAACTGAGGGTAATTATCAGTCAAATCCGTTTCCTCAGCCTGCACTGATCAGGGTCATTTGTTCTGAGACTTGTGTGTCAAGGAGAAGCACGCAGCCTGAACAGTATTTGTTGTTTACCAGGGGGCTGGAGTCAGCTGTGTCTAGTCTGAGCTAAGCTGGCTAGGGCTGGATAGGACCAATGACCTTCCAAATGGGCTGGCCCGTGTGTCCACTTGGTGACCTTCTGACCTCAAAAGGTAACCGTCAGATCGTGCTGTAAGCAGCTCCACTTTTGAATGTGCAGAGGCCTGTAGCTTAGTTACATCCGCACAGAATGACAATTGCCAAGCTTTCTCCAACTCCCCATCCCCACTGCCCCCACGCCACGGGCTGCCTTGCTTTTTCACACCATGAACACCAGGAGCCCTTTGCCTTCCAGGAGGTGAATCTGAGACTTGCTCTGTCTTGTTGCTTGACTGCCTTGTGAATAAACCCTCTTTCCTGCAAACCCTGGCATCTCAGCATCCTGGCTGCTGCATGTTGGGCAAAATGATCCTGGTTTGGTAACTGTCACAAAGGGCATTAATCTTTTTTTTGGGGGGGGGGGGATGTGGGTCTCTCTCCCTCCTCACTGATGACACCTAATCGTTCCCTTTTTCTACACATTTTTCATTTCTGAAGAAATTAAACTGAGCAGGACTTGGGTTGGGGGGCTTCTTGGGGACAGCCTCTGGTGTGTTAGATGTACTGATGTACAGCAAAGTGATTCAGTTGTGTGTGTATACACATTTTAAATATTTTCCATTATGGTTTATCATAGGATATTGAATATAGCTCTGTGCCATCCAGTAGGACCCTGTTTACCTAAATATAAAAACTCACAGATGCTAACCTCAACCTCCCACTCCACCCCCTCCCAACACCCCTCCCCCCAACCACCAGTCTGCTCCGTGTCCCTGATTCTGCTCCACAGGTTCATCTGTGTTGTATTACATATACATGGTATCATATATTTTTTTTTTTTTTTTGCGGCACTCACTGAATGGGGAGCAGAGTCTTAACCAGTGGACTGTTAGGGAAGTCCCTGTCTCTGACTTCACTTTGAATGATAAATCTCTAGTTGGATCCATGTTGCTGCAAATGGCATTATTTTGCATGGCTGAGTGGTCTTCCACTGTATCTATATACATCTTTATCCAGCAATCTGTCGATGGTCATTCAGGTGGTTTCCATGTCTTGGCTATTGTGAGCAGTGCTGCTGTGAACATGGGGGTGTGTGTACCTTAAATGATAGCTGAGTCTGGGTAAACTCGTAGGAGTGGGATTGCTGGAGCGGTTACTTTGTGTTGTTGCAGCGAGGGGCAAGTCCGCCCCGGCCGGCTGCAGCTCTCGGATCCGGTCCAGCAGCGGGCCGAGCAGCAGCCTCGCCGGGACAGTCTGAGAAGCTGAGTCTGGGTAAACTCGTAGGAGTGGGATTGCTGGAGCGGTTACTTTGTGTTGTTGCAGCGAGGGGCAAGTCCGCCCCGGCCGGCTGCAGCGCTCGGATCCGGTCCAGCAGCGGGCCGAGCAGCAGCCTCGCCGGGACAGTCTGAGTGCTGCCTGGCCCACGGCAGTCTCGGTTCTGTGGTGAAGCACGCGAGGCTCCAGTTCTGCTCTGGAGGCGTTACTGGTGAGCAGTGGGACGTCTCCCTGCTGGGCTCCTGTGACTGGAAGCTGCCCTTCCTGGTGTGTGGGGGGCGCCGGGGGAGGAGCACAGAACTTGGTCGTCTGGTTTTGAGCACAGTGCTGCTCTAAGTAGAGCCTTCTCTTCCGGCTGGGGAATCCCTCAGCCATCCTGCACCGCGTGGGCCACTTGGGAAACTCCGCATACACCAAGGCTGGTTGCTCTTACCCCTCTCTGGAACAGCAGGTAGGAAATCTTCCATCCTTGTGCTGGGAACTAGGATCTGAGGGGCCTTTGAGCACTGGGTTGCCTGGTTCTGATCCGTTTCTGATAATGCAGCTCTTTGAAAAGATAAGAAATCAGAGCTCTATTGCCTCTTGTAGTCCCCTAGCGTATCTTACAAAACGGAAATTTTCAGCTAGATCTCTATGAAAAGAAAGATGACTCTGGTGTAACACCACGTGGCCACAATGTTATTTAGACTTCAGAGAATGGCCAAGATAAAACTCTTGACCTTCTAATTTTGTTTCCTTTTTGCATATACAGTTAGAGAAATCTGGTTTGATAAAAATTTTTCAAAATTCCAACCCTGAGAGCAAAAGTTTTCCTAGGTACAAAGCTGAAATTATAACTCCCATTTCCTTTAAATGCAAACACAGCTCACACTGTCTTGAGACTATGGTCCTTAGCTTAATAGGTAGAACCTGAACTGAAAGGAAATGGAAAAGCCTTTTAAAACTCAAGTGAAACTTATTTCAGCTGCTATAAGTTAATGTGTTAAAACTACATGAGAAGCATTATCAAATGAGTGGTGATAAGCCTTAAGTAATATTGTATGGGTAAATGTCATTAAGTGTTCTAGAAATTATACCATTTGTTATCAATCTGAATTCTTGTTAACACATTACTGACTGGGGAATTTTTGCAGAAACAAATGCCTCTGGCCAGCAATTTGTTATGTAAGTGAATGTGGAAATGTCTTTGATCAATAGTGTTCAGATAACAAAAGAGATGTCTCTGGTCAGTAAGTTGTTAAAATATTGTATGTCACAGCAACTTGGTTAGGCTTCTTTGTCAACTGCACGGTAATCATATCCTTAACTGCATCTTTTCAAGTCCCTTGTCATTCATAGATATTTCAAAATATTTGCAAAAATGCCTCATCTTTAAGAAGACTCACAGAAAGGACTTTCTGGCAAGCACAAGATTCTGATAACTTCCAGATCATACCGATGAACTGGGTAAGAAATTAATTCTAATGGAAACCCCGATGGTTTCATCAAACTGTTAACAAGATCAAGGACCAGTTACATGGGACTGAGTTAACTGATGAATAGTTATAACAACTTTTAGTCTGTATTTTCTAGACATAAGGAAATCTTTTTAAAAAGTTAAATTTGATATTCCTTAGGAAAAATTCTGGCACAGTCGATTTAAAGGAGCCTATATGATCAATTACACTTAGGTAAATAATCAGGCCAAGTTTATCAAAACGACTTAATTTGGCAGTGTCAGTCGCTCACTCATTTCCAACTCTTTGCAACTCCATGGACTATAGTGTCCATGGAATTCTCTAGGCAAGAATACTGGAGTGGGTTGCCATTTCCCTCTGTAGAGGATCTTCCCGACCCAGGGACTGAACCCAGGTGCCCCACATTGCAGGCAGATTCTTTACCGTCTGAGCCACAAAGGGTAATTTAGAGAGATGATGTTTTGTATATGCTGAGGTTGTTGTATTATCTACATCAAAGATGACCTTGTTGTTATATTATAAAGTCTAAGTTTTAAAGGAATATTCCAAGCTTGTTTCTGAAGCTGATCACAGTAATCTGTCTTTGGATGAAGATCAGATGCCCCGTGATCCACAACCAGGAGATTATACATATACACATTATACTGGAAAAGACATCATTTACTGAGACTCTCTCCAACCCAAATGAAAGGTCTCTCATCAGGTATTTAGTGGCTCATGCACAGTGGAAACTGACAGAAACCGACTCCTGAATGAATTATTTCCCACTCAGGGCTTCTGCGCCGGACTGGCCTAGAGAGAGCACTGCTGACCTCCAATAACGCTGACACCAGGCCGGGAAAAAGACAACAGAGGGGTAGACCGCTGACCCAAGAATCTGCACCAGGTCTGTAAGGTCCACTGTAATTCAGCTGAACTGTTCACCAAATGTGTGGCTCTCTGTCAAAACAAAGTTTTATTTCTAATCATACTTCTGACTTCAGAGTTCAAGACTGAAAATTCTCGTCAAGTTGAGTACTCATGACGTTTATCACCACTTGCTTTTAACTGTACTCTGAAAGCATATGTACAATGTTTGTGTGACAATTTGGTATAAATGATAATGTATAGCCTATAAAATTAGCATACCTGTGAGCTTGTTGACTATGTTTGATTAGTTTTTCTCATCATATTTAATATTTTATATACTTAAATATATATATAAAAGGAGGCCTAGCATTGAGGGACAAGTATTTTGAATCATCAATGCTTTCTACTGAAAGATTTGCAAACAAAAGGAGGAAAATAATGGAAACTTTCACATACCAAGGTATAGAGAAGCTATTTTGGTTTATACAGGCTGTTCTAGTTTATCAAACATACACTGTATACATCTACTTTAAAGAAGCATTTACAAAATCAAAATGAAGTAACTGTAGCATTCAGTATGGACCTGGGTGCCTATTACGGACATGGGTTCAGACACGTTCCTGTATTACTGAGAACCTGAACTTTCTGAACTGTATCAGACTCAAGGACACTATCAGCGGCCATGAAATGCCTTTCTTTAGGAATACAGTGAGTCCCCTACCTATAAATGAGTTCGTAAGTCCAGAAAGTTAGTCTAGGTACCTAACTAACACGATGGCTCTGTAGTACGGTACTAGGCTCATACTTTCACACAAGTAACACATAAGCAGAAAAAACAAACTTCTAATCTTACAGTGCAGGACCTTGAGAAGCACAGCCATGTAACAGCTGGCGCTGAGTCAGCAGCTGAGAAGAGTTACTGACTGGGGAGGGAGACGGTGGAGCTGAAGGGCAGTCAGCAGTAGGAGATGGAGGGCAGCTTCGCTCACACCTGATGGCGTGGAACACACATCTGTGAAAGTTCGCAATTTGGGGGTTTGTATGTAGGGGACTTACTGTAGTAATTAGCAAGACAGCTCAAGCTATAGCTTCCAAGGAGAAGGCACTAGATTATTTAGGCAGAAAAGTACTAGGTAATAAAACTACTTTACATTTTAACCACAAAAAAGATGTGCAGTGGCCAACAGTTCCTGTTTATATATATATACACACACACATATATAAATATATTTTAAAAAATAGCCCTGGAGAAGCTGAATCCCAAATAAATAGAATTAATTCAAAAGACTCCTTGGTTACAGAATTTATATAAAAATGACTCACTCCAAAACTGATTTTCCTGGTTGCCATCTGTAACAAACTCTGGGTATACGGAAGGTGTGTTTACATCTCTATCCTCATTGTACTGTGTCTAATTTTCAAGCATTTGTCCAGGTGCTGTGACAAAGCCATCAGGGGTAATGTTTTCACAATACAAAGTACTGGCACCAAGCAACTTGAGAATTCTTTTAAAAATGAAAAGAATTTTAAAATGAAAACAAGGTCAATGACTTTCTCCCACATTCTTGCACAAATTTAATTAAAGATGAGAAAATGAAGAAACAAAGGAAAGCAGTCAAGAAAGACAAAATAATTCGGCCATAAAGTCAAGGCCCTTTAGTTCCTCCTCAAGGGCTCTAAGTAGTATCCCGAGCCACACCCTTGAGTTGTTTTGCAGGCATAAGATTCCCCCCAGGTGAAAGCAGTTGCCTGCCCGAGGACCACCAGCAGCGTAGAGCCCGGATGGGCTGGAACCAGAAAGCTGAGAGTCCCCAAACATTGCTCATTTACTCACCACCAACCAATCAGAACCGCACATGAGCTGATCACACCCTGTGGCCCTCTCCCTCGCAGTCTTTTGGGCTTTTGAGCACCAGCTGGCCTGTTCTCCTTGCTTGATGCCCTGCAGTGAACTGGGTCTGATAACACGAAGCGCAGTGTCTGTCGCTTGGTTCTGCTGAGTGGACTGGGAGAGTGGAGCCCAGGATCCGGCTGGTATAGAAGGCCTGCGAGTCGTTCAGCCTAAGGCACTGAGGCTGCTACGTCACTGGGAGCTGAAGAACAGCTCCCTGAGCAGCATCTCCTGACACCCAGTAAAGGCAGAAACAAGCGCCCAGTCTAGTCATCCGCCCACCTGCCCGGCACGCATCTGCTGCGCAAGCTCCGAGCTCCTGGCCCGGGGCACTGGGCAGGGATCGCCCATTCCCTGTCCCATCAGAGGCAGGGCCAGGACTCAGTCCCAGGGTCCAGGCTCAGAGCACGAGCTCTGACACACACACTTTGAGGGGACGAAGGAAACCAACAGTTCAAAGACAGGAGGACACAGAACCAACCGGTCAGTCCCTAATGAAAGAGAAATACCACTTTCAGACAGACAGCCAGGCTGTGTTCTAATTTATGAGGGCTGACTTTCCATTTCAGCTTCCTGGGAAAGAAAATTCCTGTGACCTAAACTGTGGACAGACAGACGTTATCACAGATGTCACAAGGTTCAGGATGGAGCCAGGGAAATCAAGAAACGTAAGATGTTTCCTCATTTCCCTTCACTTGAAACCACTATTTCCTTAATTCTATCAAACTTTCTATAAAAGGCACAAAATAGACCTAGAAACTTGGGAGATACCAAAAACGTGAGCGAAGGCTAAACCATCTCTGTCTCTCCCATTGGCCTGAAAGGCTGCCCTCAGTCACCTTCCATTTTCCGCTTAGATTCCCCTTTCCCTCTCGACGAAAGTGTAGCTTTTGGCCAGTGTCACCCGCACCCCTGTGGTCCAGCGGGGTTCCCCAGGCCACCTGCTCTGGTCCAGCCCAGCCTGGCTCCTCTACCTGCTGACTTTCTATGACCAGTTGGTTTTCTGAAGTCCTCCTCACACGCCAAGGTCCTCTCTGTTGGCTCCACCCCTGGCTCAGTCCCAGGTCTCCCTCTGCAGCTGCCGGGATGCGGGGAGCAGGGGTGAGTCCTGGGGTGCACTCTGCACCCTCAGCTGAAGGGAACGGAGGCCCCGCGCCCTGCAGTGGGGGTTCCTTCCAGAGCCGAGGCTGCTTCCTCTGGGTCTGGGACCAGCCCCTCCCTATCGTGTCATGTCACAGCCTCTCTGCAGCTGCTGTAATCAGCACGTCACAGGTCCGAACAAAACCTGGACTTTTTCTGTTCTTTACTAAACAAACATTCGTTTCACAGAAACCAGCCCCAAGCTCATCACTGTCCACTTATATGAGAGCAGGTGGGGGCGCCAGGTCATACAGCTCCCCCCTTACAGCGAGAACATTAACGAGCCCCGCTTGGCAGTGCCCTCGTGTGTCCAGGCGGCCAGTCCTCTCCCTACCGGCTGAGTCCTGCCCGCAGCGGGGCTGTGAGTCCTCAGGAGGGGCTCCCACTGCATCTCTCCATGAGGCTCTGGGAGGGCGTTCGGAGTCGCGGGGCCAGCCCCGTCATCGCCCCGTGACGAAGCTGGGCGCGTCCTCCTCCTCCTCCTCTGTCCCAGACGCCTCCTCGGAGCCACTGGACGGCTGCTCCTGGGTCTCACTGGATCCTGCAATCACACGGCATCTGGATCAGCGATACACACATCCACTCGGAGAATGAGGGGTTCACTGAGAATGGACTGCTGGGAAGAACCCAGGACCCAGCTGTCCCTGGACTGGACAGCGAGGAGCCGGAGAGGTCCTCGTGCCCGTCAGCCCTCAAGGCCACCCCGGGAATAAAGGGCCAGTCCCAGAACCGACCTACCACTGCTGGAGGGTGGACCTCATCCCTCTAAGAGGGTCCAGCTCACACAAGATCCTGACGCCCCAGAAATCAGGCCTCAGTGCTTTATATGTGGTCCTCCGCAGTCCATCGTCTTGGCGAGGCAACGCCCCCAGCTGCCCTTCACCATTGAGGGAGGCTGACTACACGTGCTCACGTCCCGCTCTCAGCCCATCTGCGAACGATTTCAAAACCAAGGCAGCAGAGGGCCCCGCCCACAACAACATGTCCGCTTCCCAGTCGGGCCGCAGACCCAGAAAGCCTCCCACCGCCACTCCAGTGCGCCTCTGAATCCCGGCGTCTTCCCTGGTGTGTCTGCCAGTGCCCACAGTGCTGCTGAGCAGACCAAGAGCAGAGCACAAAGACAACTTGTTCCCGACTCCTCCGGCTTCCCCCTCTTGGAGCAGGGCAGTGGGTGAGAGCTGGGATGAGGCGGAGCCAGAGCCCGCGGAGCCCGCACCAGCCTCCCCGGCTCCCCAATGACACTGGCGGCACGGTGGGCGCCTCCTGCAGAAGTGCGGGAGCTCACCCCAGCGCCCACAGGCACCCAGGACACAGGACGGTCTATCATCCACCTTCACACCATTGGCAGTACACTAAAGAGCATTCATGGCAAGGGTTGAAATCATCTCAGAGATTTAATTCCTTAGGATTTTCCTCCTCAACCTCATGCCCAACGAGAATGAGAAACTACACATGAGCAGCATGTTTTAGTGGCTAAGATTTGCTGAACACCTGTCACATGCCTGGCGCTGTGCAAAGTCTCTGCACGTCTGTACCCTCTTGTTTAATTCTAACAACAGTCTCTGAGATGAGTAATGCTCCTCTTTATCCATTTTACAGATGGGGAATCAAGCTCAGAGGGGTTAAGTAATTTGCTAATCAAGGTCTCACAATCAGTAAAACCAGGACCTAGGATTCCAACCTGCACTATGTGACTTTCAAGCCTCTGCCTACCTTGCCTGCAGAAATGCATAGGGGAATGGAGACAAAAGAAACTTGACGTGACAGTCATAGAAAAGAATTAAATACAGCCCTTTGCAGCAACATGGATGGACTGAAATGATCAACTAAGACAAACATCTATGGTATCACTTACATGTGGAATCTAAACAATGACACAAATGAACTTATTTACTAAACAGACTCAGAGACTTAGAAAACAAACTTACGGGGTGGGGAAGTGTCGGGGAGGGAGCAATTACATACATATAATATACACGACTGCACATGAAACAGATAATCAACAAGGACCCACTGTCAGAGCACGGGGAACTCGCCCCAGTACTCTGCGATGACCTGCACGAGGACAGAACGCCTGCCAGTGCAGGGCACACGGGCCTGAGCCCTGATCGGGAAGGACCCGCAAGCCACAGAGCAGCTGAGCCCTTTCGCCACAACTACTGAAGCCCGTGCACCTAGAGCCCCCGCTCCTCAGCAAGAGAAGCCACCGCAATGGGAGTCCTCCTCCCCACAGCTAGAGAAAGCCCACACAGCAACAAAGGTCTAGGGCAGCCAAGATAAACAAATAACCTAGACGAGAAAAGAATCTGGAAAAGGATATACGTACAACTGAACCTCTGCCGTACACCCAACACTAACACTACATTGTAAATATACTACACTCCAATACAGAGTAAGAAAAATGAGGTGCAAGCAGTAACGATGAGCATGCTGAATGGATAAGGAGAATGCGGCCTACTCATACAGCACAGTGATTCAGCCTGAAAAAGGAGAAAAAATCTGATGGGGGCTGCAATGGGGATGAACCCCGAGGACATTATGCTGAGTCAGATGGGAGTCACAGGATGACAAACGCTCTATGATTTCTGTTACAGGCGGTCCTGAGAGCACCAGATCTGAAGATGGAAAAGGATATGGGTGGCTGCCACTTGCTGGGAGGAGCAGGGAATGGGGAACTGCTGTCTCAAAGACACAGTTTCTGTTTTACAGAATGAAAAGTTATGGCAGTAGATGATGGTGATAATGGTTGTTGAACAATCTGAATGTATTTAGTACCACTAAATTGTACTGATGGTAAATCTTGTGTTATGTATATTTCACCAAAATTGTAAAAAAAATAAAAAATAAAAAAAGAAGAAGGGGGGCAGGGAGGGGGAGAAAGAAAGAAAAAACATGCTATACAGAGACCAAGTGAAAAACTAGAGATGGACCAGACACACAGCTCTGAGCGCCCTGGACTCCTCGGGCAATGCTCTCTGAGCACTGTCCAGGTCGTGAGCACTCAGTTGCCACCCTTCTGAAGGCAAGGTGATCAGGGTCTCTGCCACGTGTACACCATTCCCCATTTACCAGCTGGGGAGCTCTGCTCTAGGACCTGCGCTCCCAGGGTGCAGCTGCTGATTATTTGTTTTGTTCTGTAACTTAGTCATCACAGGTCAGCCTCAAACCTGAGAACCACCAACCATATCCGAAGAGGTCTGAACAGGCACGACAAGTGCACAGACTTTCATCTTGAATTCTGATCTTAAAGGGACAGGACAGTGGGAGGTGTCTTTGAGCTCACCCTCCTGAGCTGAAGAAATGTATGGACAAGAAGTTATTGCTGAAATTAAATGTGGCAGATATGTCCAAGGAATACTGTGGGGATCTGATCCTTTTATGAATTTTGTGACAGGTGAACGTGTGGAGATGGCTACTGGTGGGCAACAGAACAATACTGGACTGGTGGCGGTACGAGGAGACATTATCCCGTCACGGTCTTGGAATCAGTACAAACAATGGCTGTGTTCATCAGAGATTCAATGGTGTCCACATGCCCCCCTCCCCTGCATTTTACTATAAAAATTGGGTTGTGTACATTTTATTACTGAACATTTTTGTTAAACTTTTGTAATTGTTGGAGGAAAAAAACCAGTGAAATACTCATTAATCTGGTTGTCTGGGGAATGTGCTGTCTGGATGTCTGAGATGCTGACTGACTGAGGAGAGCTCAAAGCACTGCTTGTGACTGACAAGCTCCAAACACAACTGGTTCCTCTGGATAGGAGACAGGTTGTTGGAGCCTAGAAGTGTCACTCTCAGAGAGGAGAAACTTAGGAATCTGATGCACATTGAAGTCATTTGGCTCTTCAACAAAATTATTTCATTCTCCAATAAAAAGAAACAGGACTCAGAGGAATGGCTGAATCCTAGGTTAGGGGCTGAAAATACATAAGACAAGTCTGGACTACCTTGTAGTACCAGGAAGTGCTGAAGCAAACAAAACCAACCCCCCAAACTCCACCAACGATGGGAGTCTGTGAAAGGGACAGGCACTGTATCAAAGAGCCCCCAGCGGCCAAAGCTGGAACAATCTGGGCAAGAAAATAAAGCAGTATTGGATTAAACTTAAGAGTACAAAATAAGTATCTCAGAGTCCACAGTTACAAAGAAAATGAGGACCAGACAAATCCATGCAGAAGAGTTTCAAATAGCTGATGCAGAGCCTCCGCCCTCGTGGAGGGGCTGCGTAACCCCCACCCCTTATGTGTGGGTCGTGCAGGGTGACTTCTTCCAAAGGGTACAGCGTGGGAAGGGGAAGCAGAGTCGCCGCCCAGCAGAGGACCCTGACGAGCACTGCCTGAGGACGGCATCAGGGGCAGCGTCAACAGTGACAAGGCGTCCTGATAAGCATCCAGCCCGAGAGAGAATGGAACTTTATCTCTGTGGTCTTCTTCCTCTAGTAACTCACTCATGAGAAAAACGCCAGACAAATCCCAACCAGCAGGGCTGCTGGCTAGGTTTGAAACACAGTCACCTCGGGGGTCAGCGCAAGGCCAGTGGGGAGACATTGTCTGGGATTATCTGCTTGCTCTGCGGGCGCCCATCACTGCTTGGTCCCTCAGGCCCCTCAACTGTAAAATGGGGATTGTCACAGGGCCGCTGTGAGGATTTTGTTAATACTTGCAGAGCATTTAGAACTGGGGCTACATAGTAATTGTTCAATAAATGCTAAGGACTGTTACAAGTAAGAGTGAAGCCGCTCAGTCCTGTCCGACTCTTCGTGACCTCATGGACTGGGGCCTGCCAGGCTTCTCCATCCATGGGATTTTCCAGGCAAGAATACTGCAGTGGGTTGGCATTTCCTTCTCCAGGGAATCTTCCTAACCCAGGGACTGAACCCGGGTCTCCGGCACTGCAGGCAGACTCCTTACTGTCTGAGCCATCACGGAAGTGTAGGAGAACAAATGACAATCCGGCCTGTTTCAGAGAGCACTTTGGAGGCTGTTCAGGGTGGGTGGGAAGAGCATGGAGGCTGCTATCACAGTCCTGCCAGATTGGATCTATATTTTTGTAAGTTTTTTTTTTTTTTCTAATATGGTAAAATGCACACCACTGCACATTGCTGATGGCTGTAAAAACTGGTACTACTTCTTTGGAAAGAAACTGGCAATACATTTCAAGAGCAAAAAACTTTTTATATTCTGTGATCTAATAATTGCCACTGCTGGAATTTTACCCAGAAAGGGGGAAGGGAGACAGGTTCATAAATTCACTAAAATGTCCTCTAAAGAAGAGAAAAACTGGAATCAGTCTAATGTCTAACAAAGGGAAAGTGTTAGGTATATCATGGCATGTCGATTGCTGGATATGATCAGTCACTGAAAAAGTTATGAAGACCAGAAGTGCTTATAATGTTCAATAAAAGCAAGCAAATGGAAACATGTTCATATACTACAATTATTACCTACATACAGATGATATGTTCACATGGCGAGATTAAAACAAAACAGACAGGGACATCCCTGGTGGTCCAGTGGCTGGGAATCCACCTTGTGATGC